AATTGTACATAATGGAGAAGTTCATCATTAAAGACATGAAAAATGCACATGGCGGGAGGTAATCGTATGGCATAATAACTTTGCGGATATATATATATATATATATATATATATATATATATATATATATATATATATATATATATATATATATATATATATATATATATATTTACTCTACCCCTTCGTCCCTTAACATTGACATGACTAGAATAGAAAGGCACATCGAGCGGTGTTTCTGCCACTATCAACCTAATGCGCATTAAGAAATGCACAAATTGAAGAAACACGGGTATACATGCTATGATGTAAAATTAGGACCACTCTACATAGTACCCATAATTTTTTACAAAAAATGAAATTATATATATATATATATATATATATATATATATATATATATATATATATATATATATATATATATATATATATATAAGGGAAAGAAGTGTATACTTAAGGGCTCGTTTTTCGTGGTATTACACAATATTAATGAGATCTAACAGACAATAATGCCAAGGAAGGTATAGGGGAAATTATTAGGCCAATTGTAATGCAAAATAAGAAAGAAAAGTGGGTGAAAAGATAACTTGCCGTGGGCAGGATCCGAACCTGTGACCTTCGAATAACGCGTTCAATGCTCTACCGCTGATCTACCACGACAGCTATACCCCCAGCCATTTTATTGGGTATCTATGTTACGGGTAGCTACATTACGATTCGGTCTAATAAGTTCCCCTATACTTTCCTTGCCATTATTGTCTGTTAGATTTCGCGCGCGCACACACACACACACACACACACACACACACACACACACACACACACACACACACACACACACACACACACACACACACACACACACACACACACACACACACACACACACACACACACACACACACACACACATATATATATATATATATATTGTGGGCTTTCGTTACTTACATCATTCTCATCACTGTATGATCACGATCACCATCATCTGCTTGTCTCTTTGTCCTCATTGCCACTCTGGGTCATCGTCATCGTCTGTGTACTCGCTCTGCCTGTTCGTTTTGCGAGGTCTTTCCTCAAATAAATGCTGACGCAACCAAGACTACCTACCAAGACTTCAGTGTATATATATATATATATATATATATATATATATATATATATATATATGGTGGGGTGAAATTCAATGAATTCAGTGGAAAATGCGGTAGAAAAAGAGGTCGACAAACGTGCGAAAACACAAGTTTTACTAACGTTTCGGCAGGTGGGCCTGCCTTCGTCGGAGTGACTGGTTACAGATGGCACACAGGGCACATATATAAGCCGCTTCTTTGCGTATCACACGGCTAAGTAATTATCAGTAGTTTAAGAAAAAAGATTATATATCACCAAAGGTACGTGGCTATAGTGCATATACAGCTGAAAACGCGTATCATTGTACAATAGTGAATTGGCACGTATTAGATACCCTACAACTTGTGTGGAATGAAACAGGTCTGCAAAATAACAAACTGCGCACGCAGTAGCTCACTTGGTCATACGTTCTGTGGAATAATCACAGCCTAAAACATTCATTGAACTTTTAAAAAAGATCTTTTTTAAAAGATCTTTTTAAAAACACTCGGCCATGACTGCGCGCGCGCGGAGCTGGCGGCAAAGTTTCTGCTGTGTGGGCTTGGCTGCATCGTGGTGGTCGTCCTGAACCACAATGCATCATGGAGTGACGGTCTGGAGAAAGCGTCTCTGTTGGACACACTTGCTGCCTCGAGCCGGTTGGTCTACGCCACGGTGTGCCTCTGCTTGAAGATCTGTGTGTGTGTATTCTGGTGAGCGGCATTGGCTTTGTCGCTGTGGTTGAACTCGTTCATGGTACAACGTTTTCTGACAACTCGTAGTATACCGCTCAGGCGGACGGTCCTGACTGTTTCGGCAAGGTCGCAGGGTAACCTGGAAATGCTGGTGTTTGTCCCACCGCCGTTGGTGGACTGAACTGCAGCGGGACGCTCTGTGAGGCAGACGTGTGGACGTTTGTGCCATTTCTCGAAATGAGTTGCGACGCAGCTCATGGTTGGGCATCAATACCACAGCAGAACTCTCTGAAGTTGTCCAGCTGGTGGCTTCTGGCGAACTGTTGCGTGCAGACTTGGTGTCCTGGGAGGGAAAGGCACGAGGGCTGCTCCTCGACAAGTTCTCAATGTCAGAGGCTTCAGCCTGGCTAGGTGTCTGGATTTTCTCAAAGGAAACATCCCTTGGGAGCCAAGTGGCTGCGCGGCTGAGCGTATGTGCGTCTTCGAAAATGAATGTATGAGTCGCCTGCAAACATGGCTGTGTCAGGTTACAGCGGATCTTGTTCGCATCCTCGGAAAGGCCTGCTTTGTGAAGCGGTAAAGAGTGCATTTTGTTTCCGACGATCATGGTCTGGTGGGGTGCAGTTGTGTCTGGTACGATAGATGTGAGCACCTTCATGTCCTCAAACGACAACAAGCGCGAGGACAGTATCTCCTGAGGAAGGTCTCGTGGTGGTATTCCCGGGTCTAATACCGATGCAGAGTTCACGGCCTGCAGAGGAGGACTGTGGTCACTTTGGTCAGGGTCAGCAGCAGGAAACTCCTCGATATACTTCATTTCTCGCGAGGCGTCTTTTTGCAAGGCGTAAATGCTCTCGTGTTCAGTTACTGAATAATTTAAAGCGTGCAGACCCGCTTCCGTTTGGTCAAGGATGAGCGTGGTGAAATACACAGGCACGTGCGTTTGATGACGCGGTTGAATGTCCAGTAAGATGGAGGCTGGCGTCTCAGCGTCTACCGAATGGTCTGACGACTCCGGATGGCGTTCGTTGGGACCTGTCACAGGGCCTTTTGTGAAACTTGCCGTGAGAGACCTACCGGACACAGGTGCACCATCGAATCGCTGCTCCACGACAGCAGAAATGCCTGTGCAAGGCAGAGTTACACGATCGTGATTGTTCCCTACATCTTGGTCACTGAGAGATGACAGGATGGTAGGGGCTCGAATTGCTTCCTCTAGGTCGGGCTTTTCCCGAGTTCCGCCCTGAGAGAAGGTTGAGTTGCATGGGCAGGTGACACAGGGAATCGGACCGAAAGCAGCTATGAGCTTCAAGCTCCACTCCGTCCATGACTGCTGCTTCCAACCTTCATACCGGTGCCACGCCGCTGCACCTTCCCGAAGACGGTCTATAGCCACATACCATTTCTGATTTTCCGTCCAGGCCTCGCGCATTGCTATCGCGTTGACGGTTGCCACCCAGCTGTCGGCGTCGTTCCGGACCCCGTGGAATTCCGGTAGTTCGCAGACGGCTGGTGATGGTGAGGTGGCAGGTGGAACGCAGATATCACCGACGCGAAGCAGTCGAGCTGGTGTGAGAGCTCGATCAGAGAAGACCGAAGCTCCCTGCGCTGCTGCGGTGTGCTTGCCTCAAGGTCGTATGAGGCAGCTACTTCCAACACTGCGTTAATGTCACACAATGCTGGCAACAATGCAGGCGCTCGCTCGGCGATCAACGCTGTCAGTTTGTTAGTCTCGGCGCGGAGCAGTGCGATGGTACGCCGCAGCTCCACGACACTGTCGCACGAGGCTTCTGAACCACTTTGGATCGCGTCCGTGAAGTACGTGGTTCTAGTAGTACTCACGGCGATGACACGCTTGTCCAAGGAAGCATGAACAGCGTTTCTTGGCGGCTTATGTGTTGGAAGAGTACCGGACAGGGAATGCAGGCCATGGGAAGCTTGAACAGCATTCCCAAAGGACAGGAGTCCGTGCGTATTACTGCCGCGAAGTGGTAGCATAGTGTCCATTGGGTGATGCCCTGGTACCATAGAGGAGGCATGGACACCGTCCACGGATGGTCCGATGGGCAGCTGAAGCTGCGGCCGGGTTGTTGACTCCATCGCCAAAGAAGCGTGAACGGCGTTCCTGGATGGAGAAGCCCGCACTGCCGACGAACCATGAAGACACGTACCGGTGGCTTCCCGCAGAGGGTTCACTTGTCGGCTTGCGCTGGCGTCCTTTGTGAAATGGTACCGGTAACGTGTACTGCAGCCGCCGAGGAGGCCTTGAAGCCGTCCCCGAACGGTGGTGGTAGTGGCGGCAGGTGAACAGCTACCAAGGAGGCCTTGACGCCGTCCTCAAGCGGCGCTTATCACGGCTTCCCTTGATGACGAAGCCGGGACGCAAGACTTCTTCTTCGACGACTGCGCCATTGTAATGAGCGAGACAGAGAACAAGATACAACACTCGATCCTGGGCCAGCTGTCTTATTCTGTCTTCTTCTTCCTCTACCTTCCCTTAGTTGCCCACGCACCCGAGCCCCAGCGTCTTTCTTCGTCTTGAGAACACACACACACACACACACACACACACCCATATATATATATATATATATATATATATATATATATATATATATATATATATATATATATAGGTGTGTGTGTGTGTGTGTGTGACAATGAAGCTGAGTGATTAGAATGCATACGCCTAAGACGAAGTTTACTGTTTCCTCCTTTGATTATTATTTCAGTTCATTTGTGTTTTATTTGACTGTGTTTTGGTTGCGTCCTGAAATCAGAAAAAATGAGCATTCTTGCGGAAGCTTTGAGCTTTGTCCATAGGACGGCGTCATAATGTAGCCTACGTAGCTCTTTGTAAACAAATAATTCCATGAATCAAAGTTCGTAAATGATTTATTTTTTGTTTTGTTCCTACTTATTGAATGATTACATGTCGTGTGCCTAATGCACACGGCGGAAAATAACTATATACGAAAGGAAAAACACGTGGCGAGTGTTGAAGTCAAGATGTGGAACCGTCTGGTCGGAAAAAGTTACGAGGACGATTAGTTACGAGAAAAGGGCACGGCAGCTCTCTTTGCATGCGGTTGGATAATCCCTTCGTATTTTTTCATGCAGCTAATCGTTGCCTTGCTGCTGATACCGGCAAGGAGCAACGCAGAACAGCATCAAGCAGAGGCGACGATCATGGTCAACGGCGCAGGCCCCATATTGTGTCCCACGCCCCCGATCCCGGATAGCAACTGGAATCGTCACTACCACTCGTCGTCGGAGACATTCTGCGGCGGCGCGAAAACATGTGGCGCCCTGGCGGTGCCCGCTCTGCAAAGTATAAAGGCCATCCACGATCCTTTGCGCAGCAAAGGGCACGGCAGCACTCTTGGCATGCGGTTGGATAATCCCTTCGTATTTTTCATGCAGGTGAGAAAACATTACTGTAAATGCTTCCGTTCCGATAACCCCTGCATTATTGTGCTGCCGTGCCCAAGGTTTCTGTGCTCATGTGTTTATGAACTAGCGTCGTGCCTTACCGAACTACTATTGCTAGCTGGCGACGTCGAAACCAACCCAGGACCCAAAACGGACGAGCTGCTACAAAAGTTAGAACTGATTGCTGGCGACATCAAGGAAATTAAAGAAGATAGATTGACTTCAATTGACAAAAAACTAGAAAATCTTGATGTTTTGGCCACGAATATTTCGAGCTGTGTTGAACAAGTTGCACATTTACAGGAAGTTGTGTCTGCCCTCGAACTGAAGGTAGACGATTTAGAAAACCGTTCACGGAGGTGCAACTTAATAATATACGGAATACCTGAAAACCAAAATGAGGATAATTCCACCCTAGAAGAGACTGTTACTGAAACAGTGTTTAAAGAGAAGCTCGATATTGATGGTGTCGGTATTGAACGAATACACAGTCTAGGGAAGCCAGCCACAAATAAAACTAGGCCCACAATTCTTAAGCTGCTCGACTTTCGAGACAAAACGCGAGTGTTCAAAAACTGCCACAAGTTAAAAGGAACAGACTTATCGGTTAGCGAAGATTTCTCGGTGCGGGTACGGGACATAAGAAGAAACTTGCGGAACTGTGCAAAGGCTAACAAAGAATCAGGGGACAAAGTTTCACTAGTCCATGATAAACTACGAATAAACAATGTCTGGTACCAATGGGATGATGCAAAAAAAAAAAGACAAAGTTGCTGTACGTAACAACTCGAGTGCTTCTTCAATTGAAAAAAAAAGCAGCGAGTCGAAGCACCGTCACTACGCCCTCGGCACCCAAATCAACCCGCCAAACCACAGTCTTTGCCAATGTGAACGCACGAAGCATTCTAAATAAATCCGAGGCTGTTGAATCGTTACTGCTTTGCATGAAACTCGACTTCTTAGCAATAACCGAAACATGGCTCACACATGACGTTATGAATTTTGAAATTACACCGCCCGGCTATGTTATCATACGGAAAGATAGAACAACACGTGGAGGAGGCGTGGCCATCCTTATTAACAAAAAAAATACCTTACACTGTTATGTCTGAAGCTTACGATGTAGAGGCAATATTCTGTAAACTGATGTTTGGTTCACGTAACGTCATTGTAGGATGTGTTTATCTAAGCCCCAATTCCGGAACAGATAGCTTGCAAGCCCTGCATGGCTACATGCAACGACATGTTGCTGGTGCAAGGGTTATCTTGTTGGGGGATTTCAATCTCCCGACTATTAACTGGGAAACATTACTATTCCAATGCGCACGCTCGGAAATACTTTTTGATCTAATGTTGTCTTTTAACCTCAGCCAGATCGTGAAAGAGCCAACACGTGTTCAAGGAACGAAATCAAACATACTTGACCTGATTTTTACAAGCGACCATTTCCCAACACATGACTCTAAAATTGAAATAATGACCGGTATATCAGACCACAAACTAGTTCTATGTACCTCCCACATTCAAAGAAGTAAAATTGATTCAGTATCACGGACCACATTAGCGGACTTCGCAAACGCTGACGATACAACTATAATTGATTATCTTTCCTTTCAATTAGAGTCATTCGTAAATGATTCGGGTCATCCCTCCGCCGATATTGATACAGTGTGGCGATTATTTAAAAACATTGTACTACATTGCCTTCACAATTACATACCAGTAAAAACAAAAAGAACTAATAAGCATAACCCATGGATAACGCGAGACGTTATTCATGCCAAACGCAGGGTTAAAAGACTTAGGAAATCGCTAAAGCATAAACCTAATCCTTCTAGGAATTCACTTTGCACTGCCATAGTTGAAATTAAATCTAAAATTAAGTTGGCGAAATGTCACTATTTTAAAAACGTTCTACCGAGCTTTATTCAAAATGCGCCAAAAAAATTCTGGCATTATCTTAACCCTAAAAAACGTACTGACAAACCGATCACGGGAACAAACCGCACAACAGCAGAGTCCTTAAACACGTACTTTACATCTATTTTCACTATCGATGATGGTAAACTACCCCATATTGACCCATGTGACGAAAATCACCTCGAACCAGACTGTGTAACTGAAGCAGGTGTACTCAACCTCTTGCTAAGTCTTGACATAAAAAAAAGCCCTGGCCCTGACAAGATTCCAAACCAATTCCTAAGAAGGTATGCCGAATGGATAGCAAAGTATTTATATGTCATCTTCAACAAATCCCTCCTGACAGGTGCTGTCCCAAAAGAATGGAAGAAGGCAAAAATAATCCCGATACCTAAATGCGATAACACAAATTATGAATCAAATTACAGACCAATATCTTTAACATGCACAGTATGCAAAATTTTGGAACACATAATTCTTAAACATTTGACCACTTACCTCGAGCAAAAACGCTTTTTGTCATCTTCCCAACATGGGTTTCGTGAAGGGCTATCGACAGTAACTCAGCTAGCTGAACTGATACACGACTTGTCTTCGAGCATTGATAACCAAAAACAAGTAAACCTCATCCTACTAGACTTTTCAAACGCTTTCGATCGTGTCTCACACAAAAAATTAATTAAGAAACTTCAGTCAGCTATAGGAAATTGCTCGGTTGTTCACTGGATTAAAAATTACCTATCTGATAGGACACAGTACGCCGAGATAAATAATGAAACTTCCTCTATAGCAGCAGTAACTTCCGGAGTACCTCAAGGCAGCGTTCTAGCACCTTTGCTGTTTCTTATATTTATTAATGACTTACCGCTGAATATTCCTGTTACCGTAAAGCTTTTCGCCGACGATTGCATACTGTACAATGAAATTAACTCCCACGAAGATCATATAGCGCTAAACAATGCCCTAGAAACCGTGTCAAAATGGTGCGATGATTGGCAAATGACAATTAACGCCAAAAAATCCGCTCTTCTGACAATAACTAGAAAAAAAAAACAGGTCTACTTTCCCCTACATCATTAATAACATTCCCCTGCTACGAGTTTACGAACATAAATACCTTGGCCTAACAATAACCCAGGATCTCAGGTGGGACTCCCACATATCCATAGTAACCTCAGCTGCGTTACGGCGCTTGATGTTCCTTAGACGACGCCTTCGATTAGCTCCTGCAGAAACAAAACTAATTGCGTACAAAACGTTCGTCAGACCTGTGTTAGAATACGCCAATATTGTTTGGTTCCCATTTTCTGTCACCAAAATTAACAAGTTAGAAGGAATTCAGAGGAAAGCAATTAGGTTTATATACAATAAGTATCGATTTTCTGACTCACCCACTGAACTTATTAAAAAAGCTGGAATCCTAACTCTTCAAAACCGAGCCAAATTAGCACGACTACGGTTCATGTACCAACTGATACATGGAGAGATAAAGATTAATACATCCAAATACATTTCTATTGCACAAACAAGACTGACACGTCACACACATTCTGAAATGCTTGACGAGTGCTCATTTCACACAGATTCATTTAAATATTCATTCTTCCCATTGGCAATAAGGGAATGGAACCGGCTGAGGCCTTCTATACTTCACTGTACTTCACTGGATAATTTTACTGCGGCAGTAAAAGAGCATTTACAAGGCGACAACGAATAACCCGTCTACATTGCAGACTCTCTCAATTACTCGTGTTCTGTACGAATTTTGTGTTTTTGTTAAATCAATAAAAGAAGGTAGTTGTTGTCAGGTTGTCATAGGTACGAGTATGAACATTGATTGTTGTTTTATTCTATATACTGCGGGACTTGTTTGTCATGCTCGTCACACTAGGTACGATGCCAATTATGTTACGCCTTTACTGTTCATTCCTTTTTCAAACAATTACCCTGTTCTAAAAAGTGCCTAGCCCTCAACATGTATTCCCCTCGTGTATGTATGTGTTATAACTTGAAAGCCCAAATGATTTGTTTTTTTTTCTTTCTTTTTATTGTTCACAATCTATGAAATGCCCTTCCTGCTAAAATCCCAAATGGGATTAGCAGTATCTGTAAATAAATAAATAAATAAAATAAATAAAAACAGGCACTTACCACTTAAATGCATGAAACGAAAGACGTTTCAGCTGCCGCACGAATACAAGTAAACCTTGCTGTAAGACAGACTTCCAAACGACGCCTTTTTTTCCGTGCGGGAAAAAAGCCCAATGTATAGTAAATAAAGTTTAGTATAGTGTAAAATAGGGCTAGCTGGCCACATTGGTCCTACCTAATCTTCATTGTTCATGTTTAATTAGACATGCTTAATGAATAGAAATGAGCATAATTCTTCTTCCTTTCGTATACTTTACCTTCGTACCGTTTGTTAACTATGTAAAAGCATCAACTAGGCCAGTTTTTAACTGTTCTAAATCATCTTGGCTCGACTGTTGTTACTCAAATTATTTATACTTGTTTTCCTAGAATCGACGTTACCTAACTTGCTGAATATTGCGATAAAGCCTCGGATACGTTATGTACGCTTGACACGTGTGAGAAAAATTTCGCTGATATTGAAAAATGAAGGACGACTTACATGTAATTATTTAAAATCAGTTATGCACACTTTAAAAAAATTGATGAGATTCCAAGTGAACCGAGGGTACAGAGAACTGAGCTCACTTACAAAACGAACGTGAGGTTTGAGAACAAGGGAAATGTCGATGACACCGTCTAACTACACCCACACGCATGAAAACACACACACACACACACACACACCACACACACACACACACACACACACACACACACACACACACACACACACACACACACACACACACACACACACACACGCACGCACACACACACACACACACATACATACATACATACACACACGCACATACATACACGCACATACATACACATACACACACACACACGCACGCACACGCACACACGCACGCACGCACACGCACGCACGCACGCGCGCGCGCGCGCGCGCTATAGTGGTTTAATGGGGTCAACTGCAATATGGCTTAGAAGTGTATGAATATGAGTTTGTTGGTACGGATACATTTGTAAAAGCAGCACTAATTCAAACACGGACAAGAAAACATCACGCGATTGAAGCTTTTTTTTTTTTGAGTCAGCGCCCATCCTCGTGTGATGTTTCTTTGTCCGTGTTTGAATTAGCACTCTTTTTACAGATGGATGCAATATGACACGCAAGTTTTTGCCTTCTATGCTTTTATACAGTAGGATTATGACGATGGGTCTAATCGTCAGTTATATACAGAATTTTTCAAGAAAAAGCGCTGGAAGTTCTTTGACAATAAAAATAATATTGCTCTTTGCCTTCATAAATAATTGTTTCGCTCTGACGCACCCGACATGTGAGCGTGACTAGAGGTCACCTGAGCTGCTAATTATTGCAGAGTAATGAAATCTCACCCAGTTCACCGGCAAAACCGGAACAAAGGCTAACGAGTGCAACTGGCAGACAACTCGCGACCATGATTGCAATGCTGTTAGTTCTTCTGCCATCGTTAAAATATATGTGAGCCACGTGTGTTGTATAATCATCGCATAACCTGCATGCGATACTTAGGTGGTGCAGAGAAGAAATAATGAATCAATAACTCATTTAACGTGCCCTGGAACAACCATAAGGTTTGCGTGCAGACGCACGCAAAACAA